CGAACTGGGAGGGGCGGGGCCGGGCGGCTGCAGGCCGGAGACGCGTCGGGCTGGAGCCGGTCACGATGCCCCGAAGGAAGCAAAGCCACCCGCAGCCCGTGAAATGCGAGGGGGTCAAAGGTCAGGGGTCAGGGGCCGCGGAGGGGGGAGGAGCGGGGGTGGGGTCAGTGGAGTGGGTTGAGGTCAGGGTGAAGGGGGACTCCTGAGGGATGGGGTGGGAGATCTGGACTCTTAGATTCCCTGCGAGGCACTAAGCGAACCTGAGAGGGTCTACGAGTACGGGAAGTACGGTCTTCGAGGGCTGGCTCCCCGGGTGCGGATGATGGGCACAGCTCCTGAGGGAGAATCTACAAGCCCCCTCCCCTCTTCAGTGGATACGGAAGACTCCCTCGACGAAGGACCCGGGGCCCTGGTGTTGGAGAGTGATTTGCTACTAGGCCAGGATCTGGAGTTTGAAGAGGAAGAGGAAGACGAGGAAGGTGATGGCAACAGCGACCGGCTCATGGGCTTCGAGAGAGACTCTGAAGGTGGGTTTGGGGGACTTGGTTAAAGATTAGTGACCGCTGGCACCCCAGCCCTTCAGGAGGCGGGTTACAGTTTAGTGCCAGTGAGCAAAACACCGTTTCCGGCCACAACCTACGGCTGGTATAGTTTAGATTTGAGCCAGATTCCTTCATTTGCCTAATGGGCCAATCAGCTCCATCACTTTGTTGAGGTGAAGTTATGGGGCCTGGTCCAAAGGTATGAATACGGTGGATGAATCAGAGCAACTGGTTCAAGCTAAATGCCCTTTTAATAACCTTGTCTTACTCCCTAGTCCATTCCTTATGTGAGTTTACTTTTAAGAAGTTCAGGGAAGCAACTTCCCATTCAAGCAAGTACTTATGTCTAATCTAACTCCCTTTTACCTGCAGCATAAGCTCCTTTTGTATTGAGGTTTTAAACTCTACCCTCAAGTATCCTTTGATAGTCCTTTTCCCTATGATCTTAGCATCACTCCATCCTAATTTGCTGCACTACTAACTCATTTATGTAGGATATTTTTGAAAGTCATTGAGGGAATCCATGTAAAAGAGAATCCATCCTTTAGGCTTAGAAGTGGTGTTACATGCGTACCTTGTTTCCACTTCCCTCCAAATCGTGCCTCACTTTTTGAGATAGTTTTTTATAATCAGCTCCATACTAAAAGGGACCTTACTAATATAGGGCTTGGAAAAAGGTCTCAGGCTTCTGCCTTGTGTATTTTTACTTCCTCATACCAAGAATCAGTTAATTATATTATTGATTCATTTCATTCTGTGGCCCAATGTGAGCCCTTGATCTTTTTCCATTAAGTGGAACTAGGTACAATTCTGTCATCACTAAGTTAGTCCAGGCTCAGAGGCAGACAATTCATGTTTAATTTTCAGGATCATTGAAGTGGAGAGGGGTGGGACCAAGCAAGTCGGGAGACCACAAGTGAGAAGGGGAGTTTGGAGCCTGGTCCTACCCCATGTTGATGTCTCTTCTCATGTCTGTTTCACCAGGAGACTCTCTGGGAGCCAGGCCTGGGCTTCCCTATGGGCTGAGCGACGACGAGTCTGGGGGCGGCCGGGCACTAAGTGCTGAGAGTGAAGTTGAGGAGCCAGCCAGGGGTCCTGGGGAGGCCAGGGGTGAGAGGCCAGGGCCAGCCTGCAGGCTATGGGGGGTGCCGACAGGTGAAGGGCCGTGTTGTGGGGCAGGAGGGCCGGGTGGGGGGCCCCCACTGCCCCCGCTGCCCCCGCGGCTAGTATACTCATGCCGCCTCTGCGCCTTCGTGTCCCACTACTCGAGCCACCTGAAGCGGCACATGAAGATACATAGCGGGGAGAAGCCGTTCCGCTGTGGCCGCTGCCCCTACGCCTCAGCCCAGCTCGTCAACCTGACGCGACATACCCGCACCCACACTGGCGAGAAGCCCTACCGCTGTCCCCACTGCCCCTTTGCCTGCAGCAGCCTGGGCAACCTGAGGCGGCATCAGCGCACCCATGCAAGGCCCCCCACTCTTCCGTGCCCGACCTGTGGCTTCCACTGCTGTGCTCCACGTCCAACCCGGCCTCCCAGTCCCACAGAGCAGGAGGGGGCAGTGACCCGGCGACCTGAAGGTAAAAAGCCAGGCACAGAAGAACCTGGGACATGGGTGGGTAGCTCTAGGGTACTTAGATTCATAACCCAGGTTTCATTGTCCCCACAGATGCTCTGCTGCTTCCAGATTTGAGCCTCCATGTGCCACCAGGTGGTGCCAGTTTCCTGCCGGACTGTGGGCAGCTGCGGGGTGAAGGGGAGGGCCTATGTGGGACTGGATCAGAACCACTGCCAGAGCTGCTGTTCCCTTGGACCTGCCAGAACTGTGGACAAGAGCTGGAGGAGGGGGAGGGGAGTCGGCTGGGAGCTGCCATGTGTGGGCGTTGCATGCGAGGAGAGGCTGGAGGGGATGCCAGTGGAGGGCCGCAGGGCCCCAGTGACAAAGGCTTTGCCTGTAGCCTCTGCCCCTTTGCCACTCATTATCCCAACCACCTGGCCCGGCACATGAAGACGCACAGTGGCGAGAAGCCCTTTCGTTGTGCCCGCTGTCCCTATGCCTCTGCTCATCTGGATAATCTGAAACGGCACCAGCGCGTCCACACGGGAGAGAAGCCCTACAAGTGCCCCCTCTGCCCCTATGCCTGTGGCAACCTGGCCAACCTCAAGCGTCACGGTCGCATCCACTCTGGGGACAAACCTTTTCGGTGTAGCCTTTGCAACTACAGCTGCAATCAGAGCATGAACCTCAAACGCCACATGCTGCGGCACACAGGCGAGAAGCCCTTCCACTGCGCCGCCTGCGCCTACACCACGGGCCATTGGGACAACTACAAACGCCACCAGAAGGTGCATGGGCATGGTGGGCCAGGAGGGTCTGGCCTCTCTGCCTCTGAGGGCTGGGCCCCACCTCATAGCCCTCCCTCTGTTTTGAGCTCTCTGGGTCCCTCAGCCCTGAGTGCCACTGGTAGCCGGGCTCTCCATACAGACTCGCCCTGAACTAGGTCCTTCTCCCTCAGGACCCTATGGACTAGCCCTGACTCTCCTGTATGTTTTATACAGATGGACCAGAAGCCACCTTCTCCTTCCTCCCCCGCTGGCCAGGGGCTCCACACAGACTAACCTAGGCACTATATGGACCAGCCCAAACCCGGTGGGCAGGGGGCCCATATGGACCAGGGGGCCTTGCCTTGACTGAAGCACTTCATGAGCTCAGTGAGAAGGGCCTGTATTTACCTCTATTGCTCCCAGGGGCTGTGGAGGAACTGGCTGGGGGACTGCCCAGCCTCCCACCTGTTTATTTAACTTATTTCAGTGCTTTATAATAAAGGAAACACTAACAAAGCCATGTCTATGCTGAGTTGGCAGTGGCAAGCACAGCTCGGCCTCACCCTTAGCACAGCAGTCTGTGCTGTGATGGGGGGAGCAGAGGCAGTGAGAGGGAACCAGAGGTAGGCAGCAATCAGGCTGAGTTTAATGACGGGAAGCTAGGCCAGACCATACACAGACCTCTGCCCATCCCCTTGGCCCATGGCCCCAAGAAGCCAGAAGCAGCCCAGGGGGAGCTGTGGTTCCTCCTCAAGGCAGGCAGCCATGGTCCCTTGGACTTTGTGCAAAATACTAAACGCTAATTTGGCATTGAGGGCCAGCTCTGAAAAGACAGGGGACAATCCTTTGTGCAGCCAGCCCAGGGGGAAGGGAAGGTAGATTGGAAGGCCCCTGGCCAAGAGGAGGAAAGGGGAAGGTAGGAAGGAAAAGATCCCCCAGCTTGGGGGATACAGGCACAGGGCAAGTTTCTGAACATTCCTCCAGGGTAGAGAGCAGACATCCGAGCACTGGAGATCACAGATCCTCATCTCCAATGCCCTCGAAGGCGAAATTGCCGTGGACATCACTGGCACTGGCATCTGTGCTGGGACTGCCAATCCCCCGCAAGCTCACGGCACTCAGCTTGCTCTGTAACAAAGGCAGGGTGGGTCAGAGGGCTCAAGCCTCCTTGAGATTCTCTGCAAACACCAACCTCACCAACCCTCATGAGAAACTTACTGAGAGTTTGACTATGGACTCCCGGCTGGCATCAGGTGACTCCTGGGGAAGAGGATGCAGAGGTGTCAGAGACCCCACTGCGGGAAGTGAGGCAAGGCTGGGGGCAGGGGTACTGACCAGGGAGTAATACTTACAAGCAGTGGGGGGGACTTCACTGCGTGCTGACTGTCTGAGTGTCTCAGGGTGCCCCCCACCCGCCGGCGCAGCATCTGGGGATGGAGACACAAGGTGCTGATAAGGGCAGCATCACTCCCTTTGGAATCCCAATCACTTCGCCTCCCTTTCAGAAGCCTCATACCTACGACAAAAGGCAGGGAGAGCATAGCCACTCAGCTGCCTGGTCCACGCTTGCTTCTTACCTTCCTGATACTACCTCCAGATTTCTTCACCATCAGTTCATCTACCATGGACTGCAAGCAGATGCTCATCATGATAGCCTGAGGGCAAGAAGAGAGCTCAGCCTGACTAGAATGGTCATCCTGAGCCCAGCACCCCTAAGACAAGGGCCCCACTCACATGGAGTCCTGGAAGCCCTAAACTTGGGTATCTAAGATAGATGGTACAATGGGCTCCAGAGGAGGCCTGAGGGTGGGCTCACACCTGGGGGCTGGTGATGGTAACCCACTGTAGCCGGTCCTTGCTCATGAGGTATTCGAAAGCCAGTTCCAGGCGCACCTCACCCCGGCCCCGGCCTGGGCTGCTTGTGCCTCCGCTGGGCAATGGCACCTGGGAGAGGAAGGAGAATTAGGCTGTGTTCATTCTGATCAGTCTGCCTACCTCCCTGACCCACTGCAGCCCATTCCTGAAGCTCAAGGCTTGCCAGGCCCCCATCCTGAAGGCTTCCTCCTCCTATCCCAACTCACAGAGGAGGTGACCCGCCAGCACCGCATGCGGGTGACCCGGAAGGAACCTTCACGGAGTTGCTGGCCAGGCAGGCGGAGCTGGAGACTGAGTTCACTGTTGCCTGCGCTCACCACCACGGGACAGTCCTTCTCTGGGAAGTCAGCCACACAGGCATCGAAGCGCAAGTAGCCATAGTGCCGCAGCGTCTGGGCCAGCCGCAGGAACTGAAACCCAGTCACCACAAGGGGCAGGTCAGGAGGGGAAGTAGGGCAGCCCAGAGAAAGCAACCCCTTGGAAGGAGATAGGGAGGCAGGGCTCACCTCCTTCTTAGAGACCTTCTCTTGCAGAGATTTGAGCTGCTGGTGCTGCTCCTTGGTGACCAGGATCCATCCACGCTCAATGTCTGATACTGTCTAGAGTGGAGTCAAGGGGTAGAGGGTTCTGCACTCCCAGTCAGAGGTCCAAGGAAAGTGTCCCGTTACCTCTGTCCAGCCTAACCCCTAGCCCCACACCTGAGCAACCTCTTTGTAGTGAGTCCTTAACCATATCAGCTTACAAAGTAGGGGTTGTAGAGGTTGTGCCAAGTGCCCTGATAGTCTTCTAGAAACTTCCCTATGAACTGGGAATAAAGACATGAAAGGAGTTTTCTTGGCAGAGTATGATACCAGAGTCATTTTCAGGAGAAGGGTTCTTTTTTTTTTTTTTTTTTTTTTCCCGAGGAAGATCAGCCCTGAGCTAACATCCATGCCAATCCTCCTCTTTTCTGCTGAGGAAGACCGGCCCTGGGCTAACATCTGTGCCCATCTTCCTCGACTTTATATGGGACGCCGCCACAGCATGGCCTGACAAGCGGTGCATCGGTGTGCGCCCGGGATCCGAACCTGGGCCGCCAGCGGTGGAGCGCGCGCACTTGACCGCTACGCCACGGGGCCAGCCCCAGGGGAAGGGTTCTGAGGCAGCTCCAAGCTCACCTGAGCATAAAGCAGGTTCAGGCCAACCCGGTTCTCCATGACATCGTCATCATAGGCAGAGTCCCAATAACTGTGAGGCCAAGGGGTGGAAAGGGGTAATGGGACTAAGCTGGGGTAAGGCAAGAGGTAGAATGGAAAATAGGGGCAAAACAGGAGCAATCTGGAACTATCAGGCTAATGTTGGTACAGTGAGAGGAAGCTTGGGAGGCCTGGTAGAAACACCCAGCACTACCCCCTTGTCCAGATTATTCTGCCTCAATACATGGTCCAATAATCCAATCCAGCACCCTCTTCCCTCCTCCAAGCCCAGCCCTGACCTCTTCCTTAGCACAATCTTATACTCTTGACTTCGAAGACTGGTCACAGACACATATGGCAGCTCGAACTCTTGCAACTTCCGTACGACTATGCGTTAAAAAAAAAAAAGGAAAATGCCATGAAACGGAAGGGGAAGGAATCAAGAGAGAAGCTCTAAGGAAATACCACATTCTCGGGGGGAGACAGGGAGGCAAATTCACTACTGGAAGCACAAGGAGGCTGTAAAGTCCAGAGAAACTCACAAGAAAAGGTTCCATCCTCTTTTTCTCGAACTAGAAAGAGACTAAAATATCCGATCAAGTCATCTGGAAGATCCAGCTTTGCAGCCACAGCCTGGGGATAGGGAAGGAAGTACAGCTCATCATACTGGCTGGTTCCAATCATCCCCAAGCCTGAGACCCTGGGGTGTAGGAAAAGGAGGGGCAGTGCAGAACAAGCACCTTACCTCCAGGACATCCTCAGTCTGATCTGAAGTTAGCACACTGACCAGCACTTTCTGCCCATTGCTGAGCAGCACTTCCAAGGAGACCTCCTCAGTGGGGACCTGCTGTGTCTCCTGGTTGTGAGCATACATGGGAATGGGAGGTACCACCTTATTAACACATACCCAGCATCCAGCTCGGACCTATCTCCAACTCTCTATTTCTAGGCCCGTCTAGGCCCATCTGATGCCTTTATTCTCAGCTGCTTAATTACAGGCTGGGTTTCCTTGATTTCACTGGCACAGCAGAAGCCCCAATTCATAAAAAAAAGGTGGCAGGATGATGCCTCCGTAGCCACTTCATTAAAATAATGTGGCCCTACAGGAAAGTCCTTCCCTTAAATCTTGGTCCCACCCAAAGGCTTACCTGTTGTGCCCGACGCAGAAAACTATTAAAGGTCTCACTGCTCCCAAGCAATGGGTCTTGCCGAACTGTGGGGACAAGAGGATGATGTTCCAGTAACTTAGGACTCCCTCTTGGCTCCCCCTAGTTCTCTTCTTGGTAGGTACCCCCAGACCCCATTTCCTGGGCTGCTAGTGGCCTGTCACATGCCCCAGCTGGCCTCACCTCACTGCATAAATTCTTCACCTGCCCCACCCTTGGCTGCTATCTAGTTGAGTCCAGTATATAGAACTAGGAAAATAACAATGATGTTAATCTAAAGTACATCAGGGCCAGCCCCGTGGCTTGGTGGTTAAGTGCGCGTGCTCCGATGCTGGTGGCCCGGGTTCGGATCCCGGGCGTGCACCGAGGCACCACTTCTCCGTCCATCCTGAGGCCGAGTCCCA